TTTCTTTTTTAAATATTTTACAAATTATGTTTAACAGAGCAAGGAAATGTTCACAGTATGTCTGATAATATTTTTTCTTCTGGAGAAAGTCTTATTTGTTTTATTTTGACTAGAATAAAAGCAGTTTTAAATTTTTTTAAAGCCATTTTTTAGGTCAATATTATTAGCCCCTTTAAGCAAATTTTTTCCAATAGTCTACAGAACAAACCATCGTTATACAATGACTTGCCTAATTACCCTAACCTGCCTAGTTAACCTAGTTAACCTAGTTCAGCCTTTAAATGTCACTTTAAGCTGTATAGAAGTGTCTTGAAAAATATCTAGCAAAACATTATTTACTGTCATCATGGCAAAGAAAAAATAAATCCGTTATTAGAGATGAGTTATTAAAACTATTATGTTTAGAAATTTGTTGAGAAAATCGTGTCTTAAACAACAATTGGGGAAAAATAAGCAGAAGGGCTAATAATTCTGACTTCAATTTATATATATTATGTACTTGTTTTAAATGATAAGATGTAGATTTTATTTTTCTCAAGGAAATACAATCATTTAATTTGTCTTTAAAAGTAAAAAACAACAGCAAATAACACATTGAATTAAACATGGGTTTTAAAGATGAAAGAAAAAATCTGCTTTAATAATAACCGTTTTACTCACTCACAAAAATAAACATGTAGTTCCTTTCCAGAAAATACACATTTGTGCCTATAAGGGCTCTATATTGCTACTAAATTATATATATTTTCAAAAATATATCAGTGTTTACCTGGTCAGAACAGCTTTCAACACTGAAGTAATATATTATTTTACTGCTAGTTTCAACTACTTATTTAAAGTGAGCTGAAACCTTACAATTTATAAGATTTTTGGAGACAACTTAATTGTTTTATTTTCAATCCACTTAAGTTTGTTAAGCTAGCCTAATCGATTTGTGTAGGGACAACCCAGCATTTTTTTAAGTGCACTGTAAAAAATGCAGGGTTACACAAAATTAATTTATGTTGTCCTAACACAAATCCATTACGTCAATGCAACTAATTTAAGTAGATAGAACATAAAACAAGTAGGTTTTACAAAAAAAAATCTCTTGAATTGTTGTTTCAGCTCAATTTAAATAAGTACACTGAAATAAATGATTCTATGATTTTTCCTTGGATTTACTAAAATGTATTTAGGTTAAGTGGTTGTAAACAATTTATTTGGGTTGAATTTAAACATTACTAAATGTAATTTATTTGTTTAAATTCAACACACAAATTTTTTACAACAATTTTGCAGACGTCATTTTTTCAGTGTAGTTTGAACAAGTAGCGAAAACCTTTTTTTTGCGTGCATATAGCAGGAAAGCTTTTGTACCTTTTTTGTGTAATAGGATAAAAAGTTACAGTACCTCTCTGTCGGGCAGGAACGGCTTTCTTAGTGCGAGAAGGATGGCCATATCCATCCTGGATAAAACTGAAGCAGAACACCAACAGCAGAAGCAGAAACTGTCTCATGATCACTGCAGGGGAAAAACTCTCAAAAAATCACAGCAGCTCTTTAAATCACTGGCAGAAATACGCTTTTCTATCCTCCACACCCTCCCGCCATTGGCTGGACATTCAGTGTTTGTGTACCTAAAGGGGATTGAAATCCCTTCAGTCACTACAAGCCTTCCCCTGTTTCCAGACAGTCATAAATATTGACTTGGGAAGAACATGAAATTCATTTGGTAGTTTACCCCATTCATAACCCAACAAGAAAATTCATTCACGGATGTGTAGATTTAAAGTACTGAATGGAATTCAATCATATTTCAGTTTCAGATTTTTATACAGTAAATAAATTCCTTTCTGGGTTGATTATATATTAGTATGCTCTGAAGAATTATGCAAAAGTAAATTATGAAATGTAGATAAATTATTCTAGGATGAAATTTGGAAGAAATAATTGCAATGTGAGCTTTGCTTTGCTTTTCTACAGCATCCATCTTTAGTTTTGTTTTGCAGTGTTGTCACTTTTTAAACCCAGACTCATTCTGAAAACGTACCTCTATATATATTTCTGGAGACCACTAAATACATCCCAGGAGTTACTTTTTTTTTTTTTTTTTTACAGTTTTTGTTTTGTAAATCCATGAGGTCGCTGTGTATGCTTTTAGAGATCTCAAATTTCTCTTGTGAATGCCATTCGCGCCTGCTGTTCTCACGTAAATCCACCAGAGGACGCTGTCTACTGACTGTTTGAATTACTTAATGTATGACCAAATGACTGACCCACCCTCTTTCCTAAACCCAATTGATAGTATTTTAAAAAGCACAGATTGACCCAGAAATTTATATAGGGCTATGTTTTCAAAATGAGCCTGTGTTGCAATTTTTTATAAATAATTCCATCTGAAAAAAAAAAAAAAAAAAAAAAAAAAAAAAAAAATATATATATATATATATATATATATATATATATATATATATATATATATTTTTTTTTTTTTTTTTTTTTTTTTTTTTTTTTTTTTATATATAAAAAAAAAAAAAAAAAAAAAAAACATATTAAAAAAAAATATATATATATATATATATCTCTC